AGACACTTAACCTTTTTTACAGTGTCATCAGGCTAAAAGGAATCTAATAGTGACACAGGACTTGTGCTCAGCACTCTGCCACTATTGCTTTCCTGTCACAAATAATTTATAGCCTTCTATTTCCATCCCTGAGCCCTGCACCCCACCCCACCTCCCGCTTTCCCCCAGCTCCCAGGAATCAATAAACTCACACAGCCATCGTGGGACTTCAGGGTACAAGGAGATGGACAGATGGACAAAGAGAGAGAAAGGGGGGCAGAGACAGATGAAGAGACGGAGAGGGTCAGAGAGGAAACAGTGGGAGAAGGAAGGAGAGACAGAGAAGGGTTAAGTAGGAGTCCGAGTTCCCAGCGGAAGACGGAGCTATCTCCTCACCAATTTAACAGGCTTGCCAGGAGACTCAAGCAGACCTTCATCCGTCTCACAGAGCACCTGAGACTGTTTTGATCTTCAAGGTGGGAGGAAGTGGAGGTTTCCTGGGAGTCTAACCAGAGAGGAAGTGACCTCACCATCTGCTCATCATCCTATGCTCTGAAGCCCTGCTACCACCTGAGCCCTCTGTGGGTCCATCCCAGTGCACTCAGGTGGAACTCAGGCCAGGCCCCAGTCTGCCTTCTGGGGAGTCTGATTGCATCCTTTCTGGGGTCAGCCTGTGACTCCTGCTGCTGTTCATCCCGTCTTCTCCATTTCTTCCCAGGGAGTACCTGCATTGATCCAGTTGGGGCATACTGAGAAGGGAGGCCTCCTGGCTGCACCTGGCCCTGCCCCTAAATTGAAAGCAGTTAGGCATAGGGGTCACCCATAGGGATAATAACACAAGTGAACATTATTATTACAGCTAGCATTTATTGAGCCGGCCATCATACTAATCACTTTACATGAATTATCCTACTTAATCCTCACCATAGCCCTGGGAAGTCCATAGCAGCACTACCTCATTTTACAGATAAAGGAGTAAGAAAAGTCCAAGGGCTTCCTAGGAAGGATGAAACAGAGCTGAGATTCTGACTCGGGTAGACTCAGCCTGAAGCCCACATCCCAAATCCCTCACTAGCCCAGGGGTGGTGGTGCACACCTGGACTGTGACCGCTCAGCACCTGGGGGGCGGAAGGACCAGCTTCGAGGTATTTCTGAGTTATATGGTGAGCCCTGTTTCAAAACAACAAACAAAATCAGAACAAGGCAGGGGCGAAAGAACTGACTCGATGCCTAAGAGCATTGGCTGCTTCTGTAAAGAACCCAGGTTTGCTTCCTAGCGCCCACATAGTGGCTTACAACTCCAGTTCCAGGGGAGCCAAGGCCCTCTTCTGTCCCCCATGGGTGCCAGGCGTGTGCATAGTTCTTATACACACATACAGGCAAATACTTCTACACATAAAATAAAAATAAATACATCTTAAAAAAAAGAAAAGCAAAACCGAAACCCAAATTCCTTTAGCTCTACATGCATCCTTGGGAGACATTAAAATCCCAGCAGTCCCTGTACTGGGAGCAAGATAAAGCACCGAGCAGGGTGAGCTCTCGCTGAAATGGAGGAGGAAAGTGCACTCTGTGTGGGAAAGCCTGCTTGGTTGGGAATGGGGAGCAGTGCCCTGTCTTTCACGTTGAGCACAGAATGTAGAGGAATATAAACAACCACAGGGTCTTCACAACCCTGGTTCTTAAATGCCCGATGATCAGCTCTGGGACCTGGCAGGTGCCCACTCCCTGGGGTCATGGATGGACACCAAGAGCTTTAGTAACCCATAGCAGGTGCCCTGCCCAACTTCTCTCCCATGCACCCCCAAGCTGCTGTCGGGGCATAGCGATTTTCCATCAGCTGCTGCCTCAGCTAAATCTGTATCAGTGCCTCGGGGGTCAGAGGCTCTGGTAATAAAGACAGGAGCTCCACCAGCCAGTCCAGTTATCTGTGGGCCCCAGCCCCAGCCCTGGGACGCCTTAACCCAAAGCCTGTCAGCCTATAAGCAGAGCCACTGAGGTTCCCCAGACCCTGCATGCTTGTACAGTAACAGCTGCTTGGTAGAAGTCTTGCCTTCTAGACTTTCTTGCAGGCGGGGGTCATATGGCTCTCAGTGATCAGCCTCAAAACCTCTCCTCCACCTTCTGCTGAGAGTGCAAAGCTGTCAACGCTCCTTTCTGACATTCTTGTTGTGTCTGTCTAACTCTGCCCTGGTCCTTCGCTCCAGCCCCCCCAACTATTCTGCCCTGCTCTGCATCATCTTCAGTCTCCTCGGCAACCTCACTCTCTTCTCCTTCTCTGGTGCGCCTCTTTCCTGCCCTGAATGACCCTTCCTACACTCTGGTTACTGGTCCATCCTGTGACTTCCACACCACAGTCATCTTTTAAAACTCCCCTCTCCTCCATACACCTCTTGCCAGGATCCTGTTCGAGCTGTCTGGCTCAGTCACTAATGGCCACCCTTGGCACTGTAGATGAAATCCTTAGCATGGCTTCCTCCATCTACTGAGATCAGGCTACCCTGCTCTACATTGGTGCTTCTGGTGGCCACCACTGCAGCCTCCCATACTGTTCCACGCTTCTTTACCTATGAACTCCTTTCCTCTGGGCCAGCCATGCCTCGACTTGCCCACCTCACACCTCCAGAGCCAACATCACACTTTCTTCCCATGCCATTCACTTTCCTGCATCCCTGCTCTCCACGGTGACACACGCCACACAGCTTCCACGACACGGGAGTGTTTTAGAGCCATGCTTGACTCCAGATAGTCGCCAAACCCTGCCGCTCTCCCTTGCTTCTTCCCCTTCTCACTCTTGAAGATTCTCCCCTTTCTTTCTTTCTTTCTTTCTTTCTTTTTCTTGAGAGCAGCTTGTTACTACCTCATGCCGACATATTAGCTTCCCGAGATCAACCACTTTGCCCACGTCCCTCTAGAGTGAGCACTGTGCATGGCTTCAGACCTCTAAGGCTTGGTTCTCACACGATGAGGGAACAATGACAAAGTAGCAGAAGACGCAGATTTTAGAGACTGAATTCAGACTCCGCTCTAACTGGCAGTCTGGTCCCAAAGAAGCCTTCTTCGCTAAACTTTGTCAGCTTCGGTTGTCTATCTGCAAGAGGAAGACAATGGCATTTATTTCTGAAGTTGTGAAAATGAAGAGAAGTACATATGGAGCCTTATAGATTATATATAAGATTGGTGTACAACTTTTTTTTTTTTTTTTTGGTTTTTCAAGACAGGGTTTCTCTGTGTAATAGTCCTGGCTGTCCTGGAACTCACTCTGTAGCCCAGGCTGGCCTCGAACTCACTGAAATCCTCCTGCCTCTGCCTCCCAATTCCTGAGATTAAAGGCGTGCGCCACCCCCACCTGGCTTGATGTACAACATTTTAATGAGTGGAAAATGGCTGCTTCCATCATCAGGTGCAAGCTTCCAGCCCCATTTCTTCTCCGTCCTGTCCACACCTCTACTGCTTCTGGCTGGGGGTGTAGGCGTCACCCCTTCTGGCTGGGGTGCAGGCGTCACCCCAGCCTGTGTCCCTCCTGGGCTTCCCCCACTAAACTTCCCGCCCTCCTCCAGCACCTGGGTATGACATCGCCTCCCCCCACGCTCCTGTTCCTCTTAGAATCATACTATTTTTTTCCCCTGGGGAAAGAGATCTTGGAGATGCTGTGGCCCTGAGAGCCCTTTACTGTTCACTTGGACCAACTGAGGTACAAAGACACTTAAGTGATAAATATGAGGCTACTCGGCTTTCTAATGACAGAGCCAGAACCGGCACTGGCTCTGAGGTACAGCCTGGTACACTTTCTGCTGTTTAATATGCCCCCCCACCCCCGCATTCAGCTCAGCTCTGCTGTGGGTCTGTGCCAGGCTCCACCTCCTCATTCACTTCCTCCCCCTGGTCCCTGCCTTCAAGGGGTGGCTCTTCCTCTGGCACTGGCTGCCTCACTGCCTTGGGCTACCTGGCATCCTTTAAATATCAATCCGCCCTCCCAACTTCCCAGCACTGGGAGACAGGGTCCCAGCTATGTGCCTACAAGCAATCAGTAAAAGCTAAAGCTGAGCTGATCCCAGCACTCAGGAGGCAGAGGCAGGGGGATCTCTGTGAGTGAGTTGGAGGCCAGCCTGATCTACAGAGCAAGTTCCAGGACAGCCAGAGAAACCCTGTCTCAAAAAAAAAAAAAAAAAAAAAAAAGCTGAAGTTGAATGATTCACGGCTTGCAACTTACTGGGATGGTAGAAGTGAACTTGGCTTTCCATAGAGAGGAGCAACGCTCAGTTGGACAGGGTGGAGCGTGAGGGTGGAGGGAGAAAGAAGTCCCTGGTCTCTTGCATGATGGAGCTCTGTGTTTTTCTGGGCTCCTGCAAGATGGGCTTCTCCCTCCCGGGAGGGCGTGATTTGTTCCTTTATTTCCCAGGGGTGCACAAGGATGGCACTAGCTCTTCAACCAGTCTGGTAAAGAAGGTCTGAGTCAGGGAAGATGTAGAAAAGAGGGAGGTCCTAAGCCAGCCAGAGGAGGAGCCGGGTGTGTGGGGCCTGATGCCGGCTAAGGGACAAGGTGCTATGGTGGGGTCGCCTGTGGCCCAGCCCTGCCTTTCGACCTTCTCTCCTGACTTCAGTATATGAGGAAGCTTCTTCCCTAACTTTGGTCCTAGTTGGAAACCCAGGCGTTCCTGGTCCCAGGCGCTACGTAAGTGTGGCTGGGGAAGGCAGGTGGGCCACTAGCCACCAGGGCAGTCCTCGCCCCCCAGAAATGGAAAAGATGCTGTGGTCCTCTTGATGGAGCCTTAATTCTTGCTGCCCAAACTCCAGCTGCAGTTCAGCTGGAGTTCAAGGCAGGACAGAATGCAGACCACCTCTGCCCAGGGCTGCTGCTAAGCAAACTGCAGAGCAGCCAGGAGAGAAACCACCTGCCCTGCAGCAGTGGGGGAGGGCAGGAGGGCCGGGCAGGCGGGTGAGGCTTCAGCAGGGCCCCTCTGCCGGGCAGGGTGAGCCCGGACGGGGCCTGTGATGTGTAATGCTGTTGTGCTTTGCAGGATCATTCGGACCAAAGTCCAGCAGCCTTTCCACCCGACACCGGATGGCGCAGGGACAGGAGTGACTGCCCCTGGCCACACCATCGGTAAGAGGGCTCAGGAAAGAGGGAAATCAACTTGGAAAACACAGCCCAGCCCTGGGAACTGCCCACCCCAGGGAGATCCATGGGCCCATGGGCCCCAATCACTCCTTTCCCTCCTAGGGCCTCCCTGGTGACATTAGATCAGTGCCTCCCACATGGCCTCCCTAGTCTGTGTCTTCCTCCCCTTTCTCCCCGCCCCGCCCCCAGCCATCCCTCAGTCATTCTCCTTTGAACATTCCTTCCTCTCCATCATCGTTTATATCATCTGATTACTCTCCCCAAATGTCCTTCCTTAAGTCCTACACTGTTTCAAATCTACTCTTTTACTTCATCTTTTTAATAACATCTTTTTGTGTGTGTGTGGTGGGGGGAGGGGAGTGGACTGGAGAGATGGCTTAGCAGTTAAGAGCATGTATTGATCTTACAGAGGGCCTAAGTGTGATTCCCAGCACCCATGTCAGGCAAGACTCATAGCCACCTGTAACTCCGGTTCCAGAGGATCGGATACCATTCTGACCTCCTTAGGCACGCATGTGCACATTCATGCACAGATACACAGAAATCTAAAAAAGTAAATCTTCCGGGCAGTGGTGGTGCACGAATCCCAGCACTGGGGAGGCAGAGGCAGGCAGATCTCTGAGTTCAAGTCCAGCCTGGGCTACAGAGAGTTCCAGGACAGCCAGGGCTACTCAGAGAAACCCTGTCTTGAAAAACAAACAAACCAAAACAAAAAGTAAATTTTGCCGGGCAGTGGTGGTGCACGCCTTTAATCCCAGCACTCGGGAGGCAGAGCCAGGCGATCTCTGTGAGTTCGAGGCCAGCCTGGGCTACAAGAGTGAGTTCCAGGAAAGGTGCAAAGCTACACAGAGAAACGCTGTCTCGAAAAAAACAACAACAAAAAAGTAAATCTTTCTTTAAAAAATTGTGGGGGAGGCCAGGTGCGGTGGCCCACACCTTTAATCCCAGCACTCGGGAGGCAGAGCCAGGTGGATCTCTGTGAGTTCGAGGCCAGCCTAGTCTAAGAGCAAGATCCAGGACAGGCACCAAAACTACAGAGAGAAACCCTGTCTGGAAAAAAAAAAAAAATTCTGGGGGAGGAAGGGATAGAACCCATAACCTTATGCATGGTAGGCAAACACTTTTCCATGGAGTTATATCCCCAACTTTAAAAAAAAAATTTTTTTAGTTATCTTTCTCTCTTCTCCCCACCTCTTCCTTCCTCCCCAGGCCTCTTCCCTCCCCTCATGTGTCTGGCTGTGGATCTGTCCCTCTGTCTCCCTCCATCCTTCCTTCTGGCCTCTTTCCTTCTGGCCTGTTTGCTCTTTTATCTCTTCTGCTGCTCTCTGCCTCTCTGGCCCTCTTAACTCTTCGCAGGCTCTCAGGGATACAACCCAGGCCTGTCAGGACACCTGCTGCAGCTTTCCAGGTCCCCACCCCCAGCCCCACCTCCCTGTGCACAGGCACACTGACTTCTCCTTGGTTTTCTTCTCTCCTGACCAGCAGGAGATGGAAGTGGCTGGACCAGCTCTGCTGGGGCTGTCAGGAGCCCTTGTTCACCAGGCCTGGGTCACTGTGCTGGAGGGAGGGGGGTGCTGAGCTATACCTGAGCTGATCATGGCACAGTGAATGTGTTCACTGGCCTGTCCCCAAGAGGGAAGCAGGAACTTCTCCATCGATTTCAAGACCAGAAGCATATGGGAGAGAGAGTTGCTTCTGGGGACCAGCTTCATGCCTCTCCAAGTGTCAGAGACAGATCTGAGGAAACCTCAGACTCTAAATCAGGGCTGGCAAAGACTCCACCCAGGAGACTGAGAAGCAGTGAGCTGGGGTTTTTTTTGGAAGGATTTGCTCAGCCTTTGCATTAGGTGGATGCTAGAAGCGTGGCTCCAGAGGGCACCCTTGGAACTATGCCATAGAGAAGGTCACTGGAGCAATTTCTAGACAGCTCATCTTGGCAGTTTGGGGGCCTATAGTACACCCATCTGAGGGGAGGGGCTTGAGGGACCAGTAAATGCCATAGGTGGCTGAGGAGGCCTGGGTTGACTGGTCACCACTCACCTGAAGCTGGGCAGAAGTGCTAACAGCCTGTATTGTCTGTCTGTGGGAGTGACTCCTCCCTCAAGCCTCAGCAGAAGGAAGGGGGTATGAGATCCTCTCTGTCCCAGCCTGGGGCTTCAGTCACAACTGCTGTCCTGATGGTGTCTCCTCCTTCTTCTCCTCCAGTTCCCAGCACGGCCTCCCCTCCTGTTTCCAGCGCCTCTAATGACCCAGTGGGATCCTACTCCATCAATGGGATCCTGGGGATTCCTCGCTCCAACGGTGAGAAGAGGAAACGTGATGAAGGTAGGGCGGAGGGAAGAGCCTTGGCCCCCCTTTGCATGCTTTGTCCCTGGACTCGGGGCTCCGGTTTCTGCTGGCCTCGCAGCTGCTGTGCTGTGAGATCAGTTTTAGCAGCGAAGCCTTGGTACCCCCACTGCCCTGCTGGTTCCTGAAGTGAGGGAGGGAGGCTGCTGTGGGGCCACCAGCTTCACCATCTGCTCGGCCCCGATGGTCTCACCTTCTGCTGGGACTCACCCCAGCTGTCCCCATGGGAAGCCAGGAGGAGTGGCATCAACTGTTTACCTTGAGAAGGTTGTAGAGGTTGGGGAGATAGCTGGTATCTGACCTGGGGATGGAAGGCCAGCCTACTCTGACCTCACTTGATCCCAGTTAGAGGTAGCAGGTGATACAGACATGGAGGACCCTTGGGTCCCTTCTCTGTAGCACATGGACACTGCTCCCGTTGAAACCACTTGAGAAGGTGGACATAGGGCCTCGCCATACTCTTGATCATGAGAGTGGACACCGTTTGACTCCCTCGTCTCTTCCTGAGCCCTCGAGGTACAGCCAGTACCTCAGATAGCACAGACCCAGTTAAGAGGAATGGGGAATTAAGAGGAGGACAGAGGATAAAAGAAAATCAGGGGAGAGATTGATAGCATACGCATGGGACAAGGTGCTTCTCAGGTACTGCGGCACTGGTGGTACATTGGTGGCCAGCTAGTTTTCTTCTGGAGTGTGAGGCCTGGGCACCCAGATGGACACAGACACCAATATCTCAGGCCAGCTTCCTGCTCCAACTCTCTCATGGTCCCAGCTAGGGAAGTAGTAACTCCTGGTCTTTGCAGGATGTATAGGATTCTATAGATACTCTCCGTAAAACAGAACCCGCAGATATGAACATAAAGGAGAAAGTGACCATATGTTCCATTAGCTCAAGGAAGTCTCAATGTATGCTATTGTCCCTGCATCTGAACCAGGCGTCGCCTCCTTCTCCCTTCAGAAAATGTCATGTTTGGACAGTAGTTTCGGTGGTCATCCCAAGCAGAGACAAGCTCTTCTTGAGAGGGTAAAGAACAGAGACAGGGACAGAGATGACATTCCTTACGCTGCAGTCTGGATTCTCCAGACCCAGGCGGGGCTGGGGAGGGTGAAGAGACAGCAGAAGAGTCCTGGCCTCCAGCAGAAGGGACACAGTGCAGGAGAGACCTGGGCCTGGCAAGACAGTGATGACCTGGTGCTGGCCTCCTTCCAGAAGCCCTAATGGCCTCGTTTCACAGGGAAACAGCTTGTCTGGCTCGATTTCTCTTTCTTCCAAAATATCCAAATCCATTTGGCTGCCACGGCCTTTGCCACTCACTAAATTTCATTGTGGTTGTTTTGGCGGCAGCCCCTGATGGGCAGGGGGAGGCTACGGGAGAGGCCCTAAGCCCTGGTTCTCCCTGGGGCCTCTGACATGCAGGCCTTAGCCAAGCTCTCTGGCACCCTGAGTGCCTTGGTCGAGTCTGCCTCCAACCCTAAGGGTTTCTCTTTAGCCACCTGCCTTGTTTAGAGTGTGAGATGTCCAGGGGGACCGGAAGGTCATGGGAACCCTTCTGTGCTCTCCCTCATTGGTCTGAGGTAGGGGGTTTGTGTGCCTTCTGCTGCCTGGGCCTTCATGGGTGGTGAAGGGAGGCGGGACTACCCAGGCTGGGCCAGCCAGCCAGGTCAGGAACAGAATGCTCTCCCCTCCTCCTGCTCACATCCATTGTTTCCAGTCAGTTCAATTCAGCGACAACCCCCTCTGCCTGTCAGCTATGAGAACAGCTTGGTACAGAAGGTCCCTGAGCCAAACAAGATGTGATTCTTGTCCTTAGGAAGCTTATACTCTAGCGCATACATTAAACACTGCGTCCAGAGAGCAGAAAGGCCATCGGATATGGTGTGGTGGAGATCTGGCCAGGCCTTTATATGGGGAAGGAAGCAGGGAGGAAGCTCACTGCCAGGAAGGGCTGCTCTTTGAGGAAGGCCCTAGGGCATGGCTGAGGAGGTCTGTCTCACGCATCAAGCCAGTGAACAGCAATGGCTGGGTGGCTTTGGCCAGGATGAGTTGAGTGGGCAAAGGGGGAGCTCTGAGAAGTGAGCCCAAGTGGACAGAGTCACAGGAAGAGACCAAGACTATGAGCTATGTAAGAGGGGACAGGCTTTTCTCGGAAAGCAGAGGTAGCCCTAAATGTATCTGGGCAGGAAGACACAGGAGCAGGGTTGGTCTGGGGCCTCCAGCAGGGTGGCAGTGCAGGAAACAGCTGTAATCTCCAAGTGAGGGATAGTGAGAGCCTCACAGGCTCGTCTGTTAGGCCTAACCAGGTTACAAGAAACATCGGGCGGGGACCCTGTCATTTTTTGTGGGGGTTTTCTTGCTCTCTCTCTCTCTCTCTCTCTCTCTCTCTCTCTCTCTCTCTCTCTCTCTTAAACCGAGGCCAGATGGAGCTGTCCTTTCCCTGGAAGCTGGGCCTGGGAGGGACGCCAGCTTTCCCCAACCACCATCTCAGTCTTGATCCATGGGACCCAGGTGGGAAGGGAGAGGAGAGAGAGGAGAATGCAAAGGGAGATCTGGAGGGCTCCTCCCCTCCCCCACTCCAGAGGCCTCCAAGCAGCAGGGCCCAGTTTGCATTAGGGCGCAGCTCAGATGATTAAGAATGGGGAGATAATTATGTGTCAAGATGATGTAGCCCAACTCTGCAGTCAGGCCAAGGTAGCAAGCAGCTGGCAGGCCAGTCCGTTGTCGTTGTCGCAGGAGGAGCCTGGGGCATAGGCTGCACAAACACCCAGGTGTGCCCTTCAGCTCTTGGGCCAGGACTTTGGGTGAAAAGGAAACTGATCTGAGGGGGCACAGAGTGTTGAAATGTATGTCCAGGGACTAGACCCAGGGGGACTAGAGGACCAGGCCATTTTCCTCTGGGAGAGTCCTAAAGGTATCAACTGTATTGACCCTCCTTTGACCTCAGATGTAGTGACATCTCCCTAGATTGTCTTGAGGCAAGCTGGGTGTCCCTCTGCCCTCCAGGAAGCCACTCTGGCTTCCGCCTCACAATGCGGCCCATTCTTTAGCTCTAACCATTGGGCAATGAGGTGGTAGGCATTAGCAAGGGTGACGACCGCAGTGTGTGCTGGCATTAATGAAGGCCTTCTCGGCAGTGGTTACTGGTGTCGCACTGGCAATAACCAGAATGTTGCTGGCATTGGCCCTTGGAATGTGGACAGCATCATGGGGATATTCATTAAGGGCTAATCAGGTTTGACTCAGGGTTGGGATGGGAAGCTGATCTAGACTCCTTCCCAAGCCCTGGCCTGTGGGGAATATGCAAAAACTCAGACTTGCTTTGGAGAAATGTGGCACTCAAGAAGCTCGGACTCGCCTCCTAGGGATCCAGGACCCCAGGCAGAAAGACCAGGGGGAGATAAGGAAAACATGCATGAAGCGCCTGGGACCCAGGCTGTGTACCAATCCAAGGAGGAGAAATCCTCATCAATGCCCTGCTGAAACCTTCACTTCCACCCAACAGCCATGGGCCGCTGTATTAAGAAACATAATTCCCTGAATGTTACACACCTTGGCTCTTGTGGTTGGAAAACAGAGTTGTAATAGCCTCTTTATCTTCAGACCGAGGAACTAAAGCCAGGCTGGGGGTGTGGCTAAGCGGTGGAGTGCTTGCCTGGTAGGCATAAGTAACGTCCTAGGTTTGATCCCCAACCTGGAAAGAAAACAAAACCAACCACAGAAAACTGTCTTTTGCACACACACACACACACACACACACACACACACACACACACACACACCCGCCCCTGCTCTTTTCAGCCACAGCCGAGTGCACTGCTGTCCACTGGCAGTGGGGTAAAGCACAGAGAAGTTTTATAACTTGTCCCCAAATCCAGATGAAGTCCTATGGTGAGGGTCTGCTGATCTGTGGGAGGGAGACGCGTAGGTACCAGCCTTGGGTGGGTGGGCTTGCAGGGGGCCATGATTTTGTATTCCATTAATTAGGTGTACAAGGAGTTGTGCGACGGGGTGGTGCCAAGCTGGCGAGGTTGTGCATTTGCAGGCCGGACAGGTTGCATGGCTGCAAATGGCCGAGTCCCGGCACTGCGTGGACAGCTCCCTGCCGCTTTGGCTGCTGCTGGTGCTAGAAGAAGCAGATTGTCTCCTCACTGTCCCCCTAAAAGTCCCCAAGAGCAGTGCTCAGGCTATGCTTGGGGCCCATAAGGGGACTGAGCTAGGGACATGACCAGCACCTGGTTAGAGGCCCTAGATTGAGCAAGAGAAGGTTTCAAAACTCCTTATCAGGAAGGAAGAAGCGTGATTAAGGCCTGCCAGGCCGAAGCCTCCACACAGCCCTGCCTTAACTGTGAACCCTGGACTGGAATCCTAGAACTCAGCTGTGTGACCTTGGGGAAGTCATTTCTCTACCCCAGCTCCTCTGTCAAGTGTGGTAGTAACAACCCTTACTTCGTTTGTTTGTTTGTTTGTTTGTTTGTTTGTTTGTTTGTTTGTTTTTCGAGACAGGGTTTCTCTGTGTAGCGCTGGCTGTCCTGGAACTCACTCTGTAGACCAGGCTGGCCTCAAACTTCAGAGATCCTCCTGCCTCTGCCTCCTGAGTTCAGGGATTAAAGGCCTACATCATCACCACCCTGCTCAACCCTTACTTCTTATGGAGAGGTTTCTAAAACATTAGGTGTCTAGAGCAGTGGTTCTCAACCTTTGGGCCACGACCCCTTTAGGGGCCAAATAGCCCTTTCATGGGGTCACCTAGACCATCAGAAAACACAGAATTTGTTTGTTCGTTTGTTTGTTTGTTTTTGTTTTTTGAGACAGGGTTTCTCAGTGTAGCTTTGCACCTTTTCTGGATCTCACTCTGTAGACCAGGCTGGCCTCAAACTCATAGAGATCTGCCTGCCTCTGCCTCCCAAGTGCTGGGATTAAAGGCGTGCACCACCACAACCTAGCAGATTTTTTTTTAAATAACTTTATTTTATATGCATTGGTGTGAAGGTGTCAGATCCCTTGGGACTGGAGCTATAGACAATTGTAAGTTGCTATGTGGGTGCTGGGAATTGAACCTGGGTCCTCTGGAAGAACAGCCAGTGTTCTTAACCACTGAGCCATCTCTCTAGCCCCTAGATTTTTTTTTTAACATTACAATTCCTAACTAGCAAAATTACAGTTATGAAGTAATGACAAAAATAATTTTATGCTTGGGGGTCAGCACAGCATGAGGAACTTATATTGCAGGGTCACAACCTTGGGAAGGTTGAGAACCACTACTCTAAAGTGTTAAGCCAGCTCCACCCTGGAAGATGGATCACTGTGTACCTAGGCAAAAAATAGTCTAGTTGGCAGGTGCCAACTTTACGAGGACGAAATGAAGCTGTGAGGACAGAAAGAAGTCTATTCGGGCCTAGACTCCCTAACCCCAGCGGGGCTCTTTGTAACTCTGGGACAAGCTAATCGGGAAAGGATGAGGCAGCTGCCCTCACCTGCACGGTGGAGACCCTTGTGTCTACCTCCACCTGTCCACTTGTTGCTCTGTGGTTACCTAATGGGCCACTCATCATTTCAGCGTCCACCATAGTTTTCTACACATGTCAATATAAAAGTGCCTTTCTTTATCTAAGATGGGACTGTTAATCTCTCTGTCCTTCTGTGTGCATTTCTATTCCTACATGCAAGGTTGTTTATTTACCTTGGAGGCTAGATGCTTGTTTTCTAAACCACATATGATATTTCTGTGGTTTATGTAAGTGTGTTGTGTGTGTGATGTCGCTCTGAGACCTTTAGGAGTGAGGGGGTATGGAATGTCACATGTTGGGAAGGCATGCAGTGTTTTAGATAATGCACATGTTTGGAGAGAGTATTATAAGGCCATGTACATGCTGACACCAGCAGCCAGGAGAATCCTAAGCCAGACCTAGGCATGTTGAGTGCTCAACACTGTGGATGTTGGATGGGCCTGCATATAGTTTAGCCCCAAGAACCCACTGCTATCAACCTACATCTGTTGACAAATCAGTGGGCTGTCCTAAGCCCACCCCTGAGAGTGGCTGGGCCCTAAGATGAGGGAGACTGAGGCGAAGAACTAGTCCTTCCCACTCAGGCTGTGTGTAATTTGCAGCTCAGAACTTTTGTATCTCTTTGAAGAGGAGCCTGGTCTCCCAGCTTGGGGATCTGGCCCCCCAATCAACCTGCCTGTCCTTCGGGATCTCTCAGTGTCTGTCTGTCTGTCTCTTATTTACTCTAGTCGAGGTATACACTGATCCTGCCCACATTAGAGGAGGTGGAGGTTTGCATCTGGTCTGGACTTTAAGAGGTATGAGGGCCAGAGGGAACATGGTGTGGGGGTTAAGGGGAATAGCTCGGGGGGCGTGGCTAGAGAAATGGGTCCTAAGGGCAGACAGCCAACTGGAGGCCGAGGCACAGGCGTTCACTGGGGGCCTTAGAAAGCTAACAGTCGGGCTGGAGAGATGGCTCAGCCGTTAAAGGCTAGGCTCACAACCAAAAATATAAGAAAGCTAACAGTCTCTGGGCCTGGATCCCTTCTTCCACCATGGGCCACCACAGAGGTTTGGGGCTGAGGCCTGGTGGCCCAGAGGGTCAGCCGCTCTGTGGATGGGGGCAGTTTTTCCAGCCCTTGGAAAAACAAAGAGTGGATCGGGTAGTAAAACAAAGGCAAAGGAGACCTGGAAGCACCTGACAGCCCTAATTCATCACGGCCCAAGTTTTTTCCTGTGTTCCCATTATATTTGTTTGTAAAAGTGGAAATCAATTTTGAAGGTAATTTTCTGGAAAGAATGGAAGGGAGGTGGGAGGGCCGGATAAGGCAGAGATGGTAAAAGGAAAAATTTAGGCCAGGCACAGCCCAGGGGCAGCTCTTGGCAAGGTGAAAGAAAATTGCATATTCAATCTCCATCCATGAATCTCCCTCACTGCTGCCCGCCTCCTGCTTGAAAACAATGAGGGCTTTTTCCCAGCGCTGGGCAGGGCCTCGGTATCAGCCTCACTTTAACTTCAGGGTCATTAATTCCCTGATTATTGAAGGAGAAGAGAGGGTTGCAGCCTTCCAAAGGCACCCCCCCTGTGATCAGCCCCTGGCTGGGGTGGGTGGGGGCAGCAGGGTGAAGTGAGGCACTTCAGAAGGGGGTGGGCAGAGAGGAAATGGGGGAGCCACCTGGACTGGGGGGCAGGAAGCTGGGAGGAGGGTGGCAGAGGCAGTCATTACCGTCTACCTCTGTTGTGTTGTTATTGCAAATTAAAAGTAGCATGTTCCACTCCACAGCTATCTTTGGGGAGGGAGGGGCACTGAGGGAGGTGGGGGATCTTATCATTGCTTCTTCAGCAGACCAGCGGTAGTGTCACCGTGTGAGGTGACATTTGAATTTACAATTCCGCTGAGAAAAGCCATTAATTCACAAATTAACATTTCTCCCTCTCCCTCTCTCTTTAACACTCTCTCCCTCTCTCACATGGATGTGCAAGCAATTGAAAAGACAAAGGAAATAGCCTTAAGGAAGAGACTTTACTGCTAGTCTGTCTGTGCTGAGATTGCTCCCCCTGCTTCCAGATAGATAAACCAATTACCTGAGCAGCTCGGCTCCTGGCCGCCCGTGATCGCCTCCTTTTGTAGACTGCCTCCATGGCTGCCTTACACTCGTGTATCTCATTAATGGAAACCAGGCGTGCCCTGGTCACCAAGCTCTTCCCAGCTGTCCTTTGGAGGAGCCATGGGAAGAGAACCAGTGTCAGGCAAGACAGGCAAGGGAGATCCTGGGGAAGAGGAGAGGCTCTCCTGGCCTTGGATCTCTGGGTATGGCTTGCTGCGGCGGCAGCTTAGGGGTGGGTATCGCAGGTGAGCAAGGCTGGATAGGTAGACTTTCTGGGACCCGAGAGGAGTGTGGGCTGGATTTAGAGGTAGAGATTGTAGATGGAGTCTGACTTTCTCAACGGCCTTTGGTCTTGGAGCTTGTCCCATGGGAAGGACACAGGAAGTTTTGCTGACTACATGCTGTTTCAGTGGGACCGGATACAGCCTGAAGGAACTGGGAGAAGCATTGAGGGGAGTCAGAAGACACTGTAAGGTTGCACATGTTGGGCCAACAGAACGATATTGCACTGATTCTTTAACTTAAGTCAAGCACCTGGGTACAGTTGTGCCCACCTAATCCTTACACACACACACACACACACACACACACACACACACACACACACACACAGTCTGGGAAAGAGTACAGTGAGAGTGAGCTGGAGACAGTGGGGGGATGCTATCTGATTCATATCTTGAGAATACTGTAGTCCTCTCTTACCCATAAGGACGTATCTCCAAGACCCCTGGTGGACACGTGAAATCATGAAGAGTCCTATATGCCCAATTCTATCTACACAGGCTTTGTTTTTCCCAACGCATACATACGAAAGTTTAATGTATAGATTAGGCACAGTAAAAGATAAACAGCAACAATATTTAAAACAGAGCAATTCTAGATTGGTACTGCGAAAGTTAGTCTGATAACCGAGACAGCCACTAAGTGACCAATGGGTACAGTATGAGTACAGTGAGCTCAAGGCTGCTTCGTACACAGGGTGGGACTGAGCAGACAGCTCAGCATTTCATCATGTTACCCAGAAAGACACACAATTGAAAACCCATGAATTGTTGTTCCTGGAATTTTCCACTTAATATTATCTATCTATCTATCTATCTATCTATCTATCTATCTATCTATCTATCTATCTATCTATCTATCTATTTATTTTATGTGCATTGGTGTTTTGCCATGGGTGTTGGGTCCCCTGGAACTGGAGTTACAGACAGTTGTGAGCTGCCATGTGGGTGCTGGGAATTGAACCTGGGTTCTTTGGGAGAGCAACCAGTGCCCTTAACCGCTGAGCCATCTCTCCAGTCCCATCCACTTAACAAATGGAAGGTAACTGAAGCCAGGAAAAACAAAAGCTGGAATTAGGAAGAGCTAAGGCTCCTGTGGGTCACACTGGGGTTTTATGGCTTCGTGTGTGCTGGGTACCACCTAGCATTTGTCACAGACTGCCTCAGTGCGACAGGTCCCTTGGCCCGAGTATGGGAGCCCCCTGTCTGGACAAGTGCTGGGGTTCAACTATGTTAAACAACACTCAATTTACGTTCATCTCCAGCAAAGACTCCAAACTGGCTACTATCCAGTTAAAGAAGGAGTTAAGTTCAAAGGTCGCCAGGACTCCAGAGAGAGCCCCACTATGAACGTTCATTCGTGGTTCTGGTTCTGCCTTCCTGGTAACCGAGGAAATGAGACTGGCTGTACCGGCGGCAGGTTTTTTCTCTATCTCGGTTAGATCACATATTTTAGCCAAACTCTCTGGATACCATTGGCCATGAGCCTGTGACTCCTCAGAAGCAAATGCAGGTTGTGTCGATGTTTTGTGTAAGCCTTTGCCGTGGGCTCTGTGCAGAGGTAACTCGTGTTTTTCTGTGGGGAGGTACCGGGTTTAACCATGGCTGTGTGGGATGGACAGGTGCAGATTTGTAGTCTTACACTCGAGTTGAGAGCCAAACTGTCATGTTTCCTTTTTTCCAGCTAGTTCGTGCTTTTGTGGCTCAAGAGTGAGTTGCTTAAAATATTCTGAGGTTTCCCACAACAGCACGGTTGTCTATACAATGTATACATTGTCTGTACATTGACAGAAAGATCGGAGGGTGGCTTCCCCAGGAGAGGAGGTGCTGACTTGCTGCAGAGGGGATTGTTTGTATCCCTCTGCTCCTGAACACTGAGTGGAGGTCACACATTCTCTGCAAAGGCAAGCATGTCTTCCACATCTTTCCTGTAGTCACCCTCACATGAGAACCCATCATATCCGTGTATGTCTTCCATTCCTCATCTTCCCCCGGCAACCGCCCTCCAACCCCGTGGGTGGGTTTGGCTCCTCCCACCCCACTCCCAGCAAGGGCATGAAGCAAGAAATCCACTGCTTCAGCTCTTCTCCTCCCCACCCCCACCCCAGCACCAGCTCTGGACATGGAAGGGAAGAGCCAGGCTCAGGGCTTTCCCTGGGTCCTGCTGCTTGTGGGCTCCCCTTCCTGGGTGCCCTCATCTTCTGCAGACCAGTGGGCAATGGGGAAAGACAGGCCGCTGGCATGACACCCCTCAGAATGGATATGAAGAAAACGAAAGGGTTGAGAGGTCCAGGATGCCTGCAGCCTCCTAGACTTTTGAGACCAGGCAGCGACCCTTCCCCATCCTGCCTTCCTCAGAGCCAAGGTGGCCTTGGGGCTGTCTGGGACCTCATTTTCTGGCCCACAGTGGTGGAAAAGCCAGACAGTCTGGGAGAGGGTGGGGCCTGGCGCAGGCTGGGAGTCAGTCATGAGCCTCAGAGCCTAGTTGCAGCAGAGCCAGTAATTCAAACCATCCTGACCCTTCAGTGAACCCAAACCTGCTGACCTTGACAGCATCACACAAGAGGCCTCACAAACCTGCTGCAGGCCAGCCTTCTCTCGCTCCCTTCCAGCAGCCCTGTGGCCTGGCTTCCAGGTGGCTCCTCACTTGGCCATCCTTATGAAATGTCAGCATCCCTCCCTCCCCGAGGCAGGCCAGCTTCAAAGCATCCTTTGTGCTCATCTCCACTGGAGACAGGGCGTGGGCATCCCTTGGAGCCTGTGGAGGACCCCCCGGCTGTGGCCTTCTCCCGTGAATGGAGGAGCAGAACTGGTCCCCCTTCCCTTCCGCTCCGCCCCACTTTCAACCTCCCAGGATTAGGTATAGCACATGTACCTGCGCAGTGTGTGTGTGTGTGTGTGTGTGTGTGTGTGTGTGTGTGTACACCCATGCATACATATGTCAGGGTGCATACAGAGGCAGAGAAGGTGATGGAGACAGAGGGGATGGGGGAGGAAAGAGAAGCCAGAGGAAAACAGCCCTAGGAACCTGCATTAAGGTAAATGCCGTTTATGAAGTTTATGCTTTCCTCCTCAGGAGAGCTGGATTCCATCCAACAGCTTCTCCAAGTTTGCCAACTGGTTCCAGAAGAAAAAAGTGTGGGCAGGAGAGTGAGAAAGCCAGTGACAGAGGGAGAAATGCATGGACATTGTGCAAATGCTCAGGTGGGCGCACACGCGCACATGCACACGCACACGCACACACATGCGCACACGCACACACTGTAGGCTGAGAAAGTCTGAGAAGCCAGGACAGAGGATGCAGACGGTATGGTGCTTGGGAGGAGAAGCTCCAGGAACCCCTCTTTCCCCATCTCTCCGTGCCCACCTGCCATCTCTATCCCCCGGGCAGTGTGGCCAGCCCATACCCTTGGCAGTATGGGCACTAG